TTCCCAGCATTTCTCCAGTTGACAGGTTGTGCTGCAGAATTGCAGCCGAAGGGATTCAAAACAGAATTGGAAACAAATGCCGCCTCTCATCTTGGAGCAGCTTAAAGCCGCAAAGCAGTTGAGCCAAAATGTATGGATCCAAGAGGCCCTCCCGTTTAAATGGCTTGTCAGATACAGATGAAATCTGTATTTATTTCTCTTTCACGCACATACCTTCCAATCTCTTTATGAAGTAGGTGCCCTCCAAATTCAGCTGAAGACCAGCATCTGTCATTTGATGTCATCTGCAGATGGAGCAACTGTGTCCTGCACAGAGTACAGCTGTCCATCTCTGGCAGTCAGGTGATGAATTGTTCGCTGCAAGCCAAGCTATTAAGTGCTGCAGGTGGGCCCCGTGTGAGTAAACGGGAATGATGTACCGTAGTTATGCATAGAGATACTGAAATCAGTCTCACAATGAGTTTATATAAATTAAATAATCTTCACATTCAGTGAGCCTGTTTCTTGAGGTGTCTGTACTGGAGCACTGCACTTTGATATCAAGAGGCTTGCCAGGAGTCGCAGGACCCAATGCAGAGTTCAACATTTTTAAGCCCTCTAATATCAGGTCTCTGGTTCAAATCACACCTCAGTCTTGATCTCCCTAGGCAGCCCCCAGCAAAACATAATTGTTCAGCCTCAGCCCCCAATCTGTAGTATGGCAACATAATACTGACCTACTTTGCAGGGACGTTGTAAGGATTATTGACATATGGGCTGCGCGGTGAATGTTCCAGTGCCAACTATGATTACTTTTGTTAATTTTGTTCAATTTAGTTTGGTGGAAGTGAGAAGTGGCTACTTTATGACCCCATTTAAGCGTATTAGTGGGATTCCAAGCTCTCATTCCTTGTTCTATACCTGATGGCCACTATAGGGTCCACCCTTAATGATAGCGGCAGCTGTGGCTTTAAGTTGTAAGTAACAGGAGATAATAAAGCTAAGAATATTCCACGTGTTGGAAGCAAATGAGGATTGTTGGCCTTATTTTTAAAGGTTGTAAATTCAATTCCTTCTGACCTTTTTGTTAAACAAGTTAAATAGTTTGCTGCTTCTTTCTTCTGGGCACTAATTAATTCTTGTGTTAATTTTCAATTGGAGCAAGCAAGTGACAGTGTACTTTATTAAGCTTTGCAGGTTAAAGGTGTATTTAATAGGAGTGTGCAGCAAGCACCAGATTCGCCTTGTTTTTGCAGCGTTTGGAAACAGCCCCATCTGTTTCAGCTCTGCTCTGTCACTCAGATTCAATTTTTTTATTCAGGTTCAGATCTGATCTGTTAAATCTGAAGCTTCCCCCTCCTTTTTCACATAGATGGATGGATTAAATTTGCAGGCAAAGGGCACCCTCTCCACCCAAAAAGGGGGATTAAAGCTGTCAAATTTCAGGTGGATAAACCCCAGGGGGAGTTGTGCACAGAATCCTCAAACTTTTTTTTTTAAAAAAAGAATTATATTATTATTATTATTATTAGCCATGTTTCCCCATATGAAGTCTAGAGATAATTGGGGTAGAATGATGCCATCAGTTTTTGGGTTAACTTTATAGTTCCTACCAACGCCAGGCAATTTTAAATTTCTGTGGCTGAAGTAGAATAGATTTAAGCAGTTGGACTCTCCAAATTGCTCAGGTTTGGTTGGATGATGCCCCTGATGTGAAATGTTTCTGAGACACTCAGAATTGAGAAATGATTTCAATACATGCCTTCCTATATAGGAACTGCAGCACTCAGTCAGTTGTTAGAGTAGTCAGTTTAAAGCATATTTATTTACTTGTTTAGAAATTATTTTGTTATTAAATATATAATAAACAAGACTAAGAGAATATTCCAATGATTCAACAATTTCTTTTGTTGAATTCTTAAATCATTTTTATTAATTAAAAATCAATCTTCAGTTTAATTTGGTGAGGTTTAATTTTTTTAAAAAATACAAGTACAAAATATGCAGGAGATTAAATTCTAGAAGCATTTCCCCCTTCTGTAATACACAGGCAGGAATGCTTCTTCTAAGAACCATCTAAGACAGTGTCTGACATTACACCGGCATGCATCATCTAAAAACAGCATGCTTCAGAACTACTGGTTTTATTCGTTTCCAGATTTAATTGGTTAACCAATGAATCAATTAATTGACTCCTTTATCTGACTGGCTGGCTTAGAATAAACAATTAGAAGCATGGCTGTTTGCCCTTGTGGTCGGTCCACTAGCCAATGAGAATGGCTGATAATGTGCCTGAGATATACAAAACTGATAATCTCCAGGCTCTTTGGGAAGCCAATATTTAAACAGGTTTCACAATTTAAGCCAAACATCCCCATTCCATGTTTCTCTATGAAAGACAAGAACGGAGAAGGTGGTCTAGATTTATCTGGGAAAGTCTAGTTGGAATACAACACGCATACCAGGCAATGTGTGACATGATCATTATCCCGTCTGATAAACAAAGGGGAGAGAGGTGCTGAGTAGTAAATGGGTGTGCTTGAAGAATGTGCCCTGGCAGCCCTGAAGCCAGTCATCTGAGGAGATCACTTGCTACCAAGCTTCTAACCCAACCTGTATTACATTTGTGCTGCAGCAGGGATTTCTTTTTCCATCGACCTCCTGATTGTACGAGGGGACTCCAAAACTCGCATGTGAGCAGCAACTGTTTGTCCTCCTCCAAGTACATTGTGGAGCGGAGCCAGCAGAGAGTCTCTTACTGTCCATGCCTGCTGTTCTGTACTGATTAGGAATTGGATAGCAGCTCTATGAATGTGATGCTGCCCAGCTTCCAGAAGTCATGTGAGACGGGGCATCAGGAAACGGGAGCTGACGGTCACATCACAGCCACTCTGAGAAGAAATAGCCGTCTAAAAAAAGAAAGGCATCCTGCAGCATGACTGGCGCTCTGGCCCTGAAGCACCCTGGCCCTGGCCTGCTCAGGCTGGGATTAGAAGTCACACAGCCATAAAGATGCCACTCCGACAGGCAATGCCCATACGTTATGTGTGTGGTGACAGGTCCTACATTTTCTAGCACTTACAGCAGGGGTCAGTAAACCTCTTCAGCAGGGGGCCGGTCCACCGTCCCTCAGACCTTGTGGGGGGCCGGGCTATATTTTTTGGGGAGAAATGAATGAATTCCTATGCCCCACAAATAACCCAGAGATGCATTTTAAATAAAAGGACACATTCTACTCATGTAAAAACACACTGCTTCCTGGACCGTCCGTGGGCTGGATTGAGAAGGCGATTGGACCAGATCCAGCCCCCGGGCCTTAGTTTGCCTACCCATGACTTATAGCTTAGCCCATGCAACAGCAACCTCTGCCCCCCCCCAAAAAAAACGCCCATAAAGGATGTCGCAACAAGCACAAACAGCGCCCAGGATCTGAACTGGAACAGAACGGAACTGGAACTGGAGCAGAAATTATTTGCTGTTGCACCATTTTTCAGCTCAATGATCTTTAACCCATGTTTTGTGTATGTATACTCACCAGTCACCTTCCTCGTTTTTCCTTTCAAAAAGTAGCATCTAGTACAAATGAAAGGAACATTCTCTTTAAAACCCTTATTCCCATATTTATCAAACAAATTCGAGTTCTCAAAATAACTTTTCAGCATGTCTCCTCTCCCTCTCCCTCCTTGGAAATGAATTATTTGACATAACTATATTTAAGGCATTTCCCATTCTTATTAACATTTAACGGGGGAGGGGGTGTTATTTGGAGACTTCCAAAGAAAAAGGAAAAAAAGGGTTAGACATATGCTTTCATCTTCTGTGTAACCTAACAACAGGAATTCTCTTCAGGGCAATTTACAGATTCCATAAATATACCAAAAAAAAAAGAAAAAGGAAAAAAAAAAGAAAGAGGCTCTCTCAGAGCTTTAGTTCAGGAATCGTCTTCCCTATATCTCATAGGTTTCGATGCTGGCTAAAATATTGCATTTAACAGGCTGACACCTAATAACATTTTCCAAATGTCATCAGTGTCTTAGAACATATCACTTCAAACCACATTTTAAAATGGAAGTTGAAAAATAATGAAATTTAAATCCTTAAAACTTTGCTCCTTTATGAAGTGGCCTCAAGCTTTGCTTTAAGTGGGCATGTTTTGTGTCGTACTAGAATCCAGAAGAGCTGGATTCAAATTCCTTCTCAGCCATGAAGCTCACTGTGTGACCTTGGGCCACTCGCTGCCTCTCAATGTACTTGTTGTCAAGATAGAATGGAAGAATGGATGGGAGGCGATGGGACATGAATGCCGCCTGAAGTTCTTTGGAAGAATGTTGGGGTATAAATATCATCATCATCATCATCATCATCAATGGCAGCTTTGGTCTCTGTGTTTTCCTGGCATCACATAGCAACTCTGCCAATGGCTACGGAGAGCTTGCAAGCTGAGCGATAGAACCCAAACTGTGTTTACTTTAGATTTTGCCCCCCGTTTTTTATGAGGGCAAATTGGCAATATGAATTTTTTAAAAATCATGTTTTAGTTTGGCACCCCATCAATATGACTACAATTATGGTACAGTGGTACCTCGGGTTACATACGCTTCAGGTTACAGACTCCACTAACCCAGAAATAGTACCTCGGGTTAAGAACTTTGCTTCATGATGAGAACAGAAATCATGCTCCGGTGGCGTGGTGGCAGCAGGAGGCCCCATTAGCTAAAGTGGTACCTCAGGTTAAGAACAGTTTCAGGTTAAGAACGGACCTCTGGAACGAATTAAGTACGTAACCAGAAGTACCACTGTAATTGCTGTTAAATTACATTCATGCAAATTCTGGGATCAGAATTAGTACGTAAACATGTAAATTGCTGCATTATCCTGCTTCACTGTTGGAAATATTTCTTCAGGATATGCTGATAGATATCTTGTAAAGTCTAACAGATTTTTGAGAAGAGTTTTTCCTCTCTTAAAAGACCCACAATATCACAGAAAGAGAAACCGTGCATTTTGTGAATTACTTAGGAAGGCTGGTAGATGGTGCTAGAGGATGCTCGGGATCCACATTAAGCCCATTGTAAGGCAACTGCTAGTTCTGGAAGCTTCCCTGTTTCACGGGAGGAAGCAAGGTCCTCTGGCCCCCTGGGCAGAAGAGAAGGCGCAGCTCTTATTAATTCAAGTTCAAGTGGCGATAAACGAGGTTTGTGTTTGATTAAGAGATATATCTTCCTCTGTTGGATGGCTCTGCCATGTGTTGCTCACCTGACAGAATATAGATTGAATTGTTTATAATGTCTCACACAACTTCTACTTTCTTCTGAGATTCTCTAATTCGGCATCAGTCATAATTTTCAAGAAGGAAAGAAAGAAACAAGTAACTTCTATTGCAACTAATAAGTAAAAATGGCAAAAGGGGGGGTTGGATGCCTTTTAGGAAAGAACAGAAGACACCCCCTACTTTTCAAATCAGTTGTGAATATTTGTTGAAACATACTATGTTTTTGTTTATGCTGGAAGCCGCCCAGAGTGGCTGGGGCAACCCATTCAGATAGGCGGGGTATAAATAACAAAATTACACACCCTCCAACATTTCTCCGATGAAAATAGGGACATCCCATCCACAATGGTAATTTTACTATTTATACCCCACACATCTTACTGGGTTGCCCCAGCCACTCTGGGCAGCTTCCAACATATATAAAAACATAATAAAACGTTAAATATATATTTTAAAAACCTTCCCTACACAGGATTGCCTTCAGATAGCTTGGGAGGGTCAGATAACTCCATACCCTCCAACATTTTCCTATGAAAATAGGGACATCCTAAGGAAAAGTGGGACATTCTGGCATCAAATCTGAAACCAAGACAGCTTCTCTAAATCAGGGATATCTCTGGAAAATAGGGACACTTGGAGGGTCTGAAATCATTATTATTATTTCTAGGCACCTCACTGTTTCCACTGTGCTCGATTCTTTTGTCAGTGGCCACACAACATTCTCCTTAACCAAGTGGCAGCCTGCACTTCCTTCCAATTAATTCAGATTTCCCTGGTCTTCAGATAATCCAGTTAAGGAGGGGAGGGAATCCAGCATAAAATCATGCATTACCTGAGTGACGTGCATTGTGAGTTCACATTTTGAGTGAGCTTTTTAAAAAATGTTATGTAGTGACGTTTTAGTGGCTGCTCTCTGTGGTCACACCCCCTACTTCCAATTGCCCACCCCCACAACACAATTTAGCACAATTTTGTTTCAATCAACTGAAAGGAAAAAATGCAGCATGCCTATTTCCATTGGTTGATGCTGAAGGTATGTTAACAATGTGTGTGTGTGTATCAGCATTGCTCAAAATTGCTGTTGTGCAAACAGTGATATCAAAAATAAAACTAGCCCTTTAGAATATAAACAGGAATCAGCTTGCTGTCTTAAAATACAGATGATGATAATCACATTACTATTAGCACTGTCAATTCATCTTCAATATAATGAAGAATGGGCAGTTAAACCTTGCTGAGAATTTTGCCCTCTCTACTAAGATCTCAGTCTTCCTATTGAAACATGAAATAATATCTCTGGGAAGGGAGGCTGTTTGAGAAATCCAAGTCCAAATCTCCTTTGGGTGCATGGAATTAGCCTCATTGTCGTTTCAACTCAACATTATTTAGGCACACAGTTAAGGGCTTAGTCTTGTGTTTACAGGTATGTGAGTGAAATGGCAGAGCAGGGAGAGAAATGTGATGTTCGGGGCGGGGGGGGGGGATCCCACAGGGGATACATCTCAACGAACACAAAAGCTGTCAATAGTAAAATCATCACTGGCTTACAAAGAAAGATGCAAAGTTGGGCACTGAACTTGTCTGAATTTTCAGGGTGTAGTAGAATCCCAAGAATGGCCATCTGAGTTTATTTCCTGGAAGTTTAGTAAACTGTTATCATCATAATTCCTCTAGCAATTCTATTACCTTTTAAAATTTCTGTCTGCCATTGGGCTGATGCTTTCAGTGAAGTCCTGTGCTGACCCTAATGTGTCTTTACCAAGTGGTAACCACAAATTTGGATCCTTACATGCTATAATTAGGTTTATTGTTTTCAGTGCATCTCTCACGAAGCAATTATCAGTAGCGTGTTTCAGTTCTCCATTCCATTATCTATCCTGTTGCCCAAAGGAAAATTACTTATCGCAAGTCAGCAACGGCTATATTGTTCTCTTGACTATATTGTTGTTTTCAGATGCATTTAATTCAGCATTTTTAGGGGGGCAGGAGGGATGCAAACAAAGCAGTAGGACAATGTGCAGCTTGTTGTACCAGATTGCTTCAGAGCACAGAAGGTCTGCCAACCAGCGGAGAGACCCTTGTCTTTACAGAGCAGGAGGAAGGCTAACTATTAGCCACAGTATCTTGAATGCTGGAGACATTGCCTCATGTCCGTGCCTGAGGGAGTTTCACACTGTTAAGACCGAAACACATTCTAAAGCCAATATTGCGTTCCTTTTATCAGTACTTGCATGTTACAGAGAATCAGAATATAATATTTGCTGTAATCCAAAGTCCACCTAGCCCAGCATTTTGTTTCCCACCCCCCTCAGGAGGCTCACAAGCAAGGCATGGAGTGATCCTAGATCACAGATCCTAGAGTTGTAGAGTTGAAAGGGACGCTGGTCCAGCATCTAATCCTGATGAGGAAGACTGCCATTGAACATGGAGCTTCTGTTGAGCTTTCATCACTAATAGCTGATGATAGACCTGTCTTTCATGAATTTGTCCCTTTTTAAAATAAAAGCTATCTATCTATCACCATGTTTGATGACAGTTTAATTCAATAATTGTGCATTGTGTGAAGAAATGCTTTATACTGCCTGCTCCAAATCTGCCAATAAACTTCACTGAGTGATCCCAGGTTGAAAGATGGCGAAACATTTCCCAATTGCTCATCTTTTTCCCCTATTGAGGGAAATATCTTAGCAAAGGTGCCACCACCAGTTTCGAAAAAATTTCAGTCGTGTCATTTAGTGAGTGTTTTGATGGGCACTGTCTTATAGTGGCATTATGATATCAGCAGTTTTATTTTCAGTTGTTTTCCTAATGATTCCTAGCATGTAATTTACCTTTTTCACACTGAGTTGACATCTTCACTGAGCTGTCCACTAAGGCCTTGTTCCTGGTCAGCTACCGCCAGTCCAGACTCTATGAGCACATATGTAAAATCAAGGATTTTCTTGCCCTGACATGCATCACTTTACATTTGTTTACACTCAGTGGTGACTGGCAGACCTGGACCTGGAGGAATGGCCTGTCTTCTCAAAGGTAGAGATCAGGTTGACTGTTCTAATGGGGAAACTAAGGATAGAGTTGAATGTGATAATCGTTAGAATTCCCACCATCACAAAAACTCTTTATCCAATTCACCAACAATGCTTTGCAAATTTTAAATTGTGCATTAGAAATGGCAACATTTGGTGCAGTCATTAATGGAGATTTGATTCAGCTTTGTTTGCTTGGCACCCCCTGGCCAGCAACAAAATGAAGAGGAATCAAGTTCTCTCTCTTCCATCTGTTTCCTTTTACTCTACCATTATCCATGTATCAACACACAAAGGAAATACTCCTGTTCCTGCATCTGATTTTAACATCAAAAATACTATAGTGAAATCAATCTCTGAATGTCAGTCATTATATAGTCAAAATGACATCATCCATGTACAAGAGGGAGGTATCAGCACGTTTAGGAGAACCCAAGGTCTGTGGAACAACAATAAAAACCCAAGGGCAGTAACCCCAAAGCTTTCTTAATATGACCAAGTGTCTGATCATGGGAGAAAGAAGACCACAGGAAGGGGAAATAGAATGGGATTGCCTAGAAGAGAGCTTTGCTGGCTGGCTGGAACCCTGAACAGGAAACTCCACACTGCACGATTGGGGGGGGGGTGCAGGTGTCACAAGTGGGACCCACAACAAAATGTTTCCATGTGGAAAGTTCTGGGTTCTGGCCAATGGTCAATGCAGAGACAGACTAGAATATCAGGTTGTTTTTTTACTTTATTTTACTAAAGGGCACTTCTTACCTGTTCTTGCAACATCCAGTCTTAGGTTCACTTAGACATCATAAATTCTGTGACCACATTTTCCAGTGGTTCAAAACTATCTACTCTCATTAATCATTTTTGACCACAACAAAGGATAGTTCAGGCTTTACAGGCAGAATACACAGAATACGCTGTGGGTCAAACCACAGAGCCTAGGACTTGCCGATCAGAAGGTCAGCAGTTCGAATCCCTGCGACGGGGTGAGCTCCCGTTGTTCGGTCCCTGCTCCTGCCAACCTAGCAGTTCGAAAGCACGTCAAAGTGCAAGTAGATAAATAGGTACCGCTCCAGCAGGAAAGTAAACGGCATTTCCGTGCGCTGCTCTGGTTCGCCAGAAGCGGCTTAGTCATGCTGGCCACATGACCCGGAAGCTGTACGCTGGCTCCCTTGGCCAATAAAGCGAGATGAGCGCTGCAACCCCAGAGTCTTTCACAACTGGACCTAATGGTCAGGGGTCCCTTTACCTTTAAGACATGGATAGCAACACAGAGGAGGAAGACAGCTGTGTATAGTTGCTCTTAATAATCAAGACCTTTCGAGCAAATACTTGTAGATTCAGTATATTATCTATCTCCAATAACTTTTTACTCACTTGAATGAAAATTGTGCTTCTACCACTGCATTTCTTTCAGTAAAGGTCATGAAGTTTGTAAAATGCGTTTTGAGTGCACCATAGCATCCAAATAGATATAAGAATTGCAAAGCAAACCTGAAGTGTAACAGCAGATGTCATACTAGTCTTAACCAATAAAATATAAAATGAAATGTGTGCCAATTCTAAGAATGGTACTTTGTGCTTTTAGAAACAACAAAAGCCAATCCCTAGGATTAGGCAAATAAACTAATTATTTTTTTCTGGGCAGAGGAAACTGCAATCTTGCTTTTTTTCTCTTTGCTGTGTTCCATTACCTGCCCACATTTTTCATACCTGCTGTAGAACTGCAGTGTGTCACAGGTGTGGGCAAAATTGTCCCACCGAGGACCTAGCAAGAGCTGCATTATGGGGCTCAGTTTACAGATCAGTAAACTTCTTTAGAGTGCAAGGTGGGGCCAATTAATACAACCCGTGTTAGTGTGTGAGAAAGTGTTTTTGAAATGCCATTAAGAATGGTAGTAGAATTTCCTAACTTTCTAGATAAAGTGCAAAAGATGAAAATATGGACTCTCCAAATCTCCAAGAGTACCTATATATGAGATTTTTCAAATTTCATCACCACTTAGTATGACAGAACCCCAAATTAGGCTATGCAAATAGGCACGCAAAGCAAAAGAGAAAAAACACCTCCAGAAATGAATAGCATAAGTATAGTCATACCTGTATCTAACCTTGCAGGTTTGTTGTGACAATAAAAGGATTGCTGTTTTCTGAGCTCATTGGCGGAAGGACAGGATTACAATGTGATACATTTGATAGACATTTTGAGACAAAAGCACAGGATACCATAGCTTCCCAGTGCTGCTGATGAAGAAGCATGGCCATTACAGCTGAGGGTGCCCTCACCCTCCCTGTCCACCACCCCCTGTGCCATGCAGTGGCGCTGCATTAAATGCTAACCCCTTTTGTGTGTGTAGTTACAAATGCATTGTGGCAAATATCTTTTTAATGCTAAATTTAGTGCATGGATTACATGCCGTTCCTGCTCTGTTTAGTAAGAAGGAAGAAAAGAAATTGGCGCCCTAATCTCTTTCATGCTGAGATCTATTGTCACTTTATTAAATTCAAATTTACTGCTGAGTTCCCAGCCAAAAAATAGCTGTTAGCACACTATAGTGTAAAGCATAAATCTGAGTTCACTGAATCAGAGACATTATTAAAGGAGAAAAAAATGACTTAATGGTCTGTCCAGCCTCATAAATCTTAGCGTTCGCATAAAAGATTATGACAAAATTTACGTCCACTAAATGCATAGTATTAATGCAGTCGTGGTGGCTGGTAGTCAAAACAATTTCTTTAGCAATCTGATGTTTAAAAATTATGAGGGCCTATATAAGGAGATGTCTGGAAGGCAATATTTACACAGCAATATTTTGCATAGAATGCATCTTCCGAAAGCCAGATGTTTGGCGAGTCTGGCCATTGGACTTTGTCCACCAGGCTTCATTGATGCTGGGCAGAACTTTTCCTATTGTATGGTGTTCTAGGCCATCTGTGTCAACATTAAATTCACCTTTTCCATCAGCCTGAAATATGTTGTTGTTGTTGTTGTTTAGTCGTGTCCGATTCGTGACCCCATGGACCAGAGCACGTCAGGCACTCCTGTCTTCCACTGCCTCCTGCAGTTTGGTCAAACTCATGCCGGTAGCTTCAAGAACACTGTCCCACCATCTCGTCCTCTGTCGTCCCCTTCTCCTTGTGCCCTTCATCTCTCCCAACATCAGGGTCTTTTCCAGGGAGTCTTCGCTTCTCATGAGGTGGCCAAAGTATTGGAGCCTCAGCTTCACGATCTGTCCTTCCAGGGAGCCCTCAGGGCTGATTTCCTTCAGAATGGATAGGTTTGATCTTCTTGCAGTCCATGAGACTCTCAAGAGCCTTCCTCCAGCACCATACTTCAAAAGCATCAATTCTTCGGCGATCAGCCTTCTTCATGGTCCAGCTCTCACTTCCATACATCACTACTGGGAAAGCCATAGCTTTAACTATACGGACCTTTATTGGCAAGGTGATGTCTCTGCTTTTTAAGATGATGTCTAGGTTTGTCATTGATTTTCTTCCATGAAGCAGGCGTCTTTTAATTTTGTGACTGCTGTGATCATGGAACCCAAGAAAGTAAAATCTCTCACTGCCTCCATTTCTTCCCTTTCTATTTGCCAGGAGGTGATGGGACCAGTGGCCATGATCTTCGTTTTTTTTATGTTGAGCTTCAGACCATATTTTGCGCTCTCCTCTTTCACCCTCATTAAAAGGTTCTTTAATTCCTCCTCACTTTCTGCCATCAAGGTTGTGTCATCTGCATATCTGAGGTTGTTGATATTTCTTCCAGCAATCTTAATTCCGGTTTGGGATTCATTTAGGCAAGCCTTTCGCATGATGAAGTTTGCATATATGTTAAATAAGCAGGGAGACAATATACAGCCTTGCCGTACTCCTTTCCCAATTTTAAACCAATCAGTTGTTCCATATCCAGTTCTAACTGTAGCTTCTTGTCCCACATAGAGATTTCTCAGGAGACAGATGAGGTGATCAGGCACTCCCATTTCTTTAAGAACTTGCCATGATTTGCTGTGGTTGACACATTCATTACTTTAAAAAAAACCTGTCAATTTAAGACCGGACTTAAGACTCATGTTTCTTCAAGCTCTACAAAGACAGGGAACTGAAAGCCAAGACTGATGCCTTAACAGACATGCCCTGTGCCATGATCAGAAATTATGTTGTGCAATGTCACAAACTGTGCTTGCTTACAACTTACCATCTATGCACCCACACATCTCCTGGGTCTTTCAGGCCCAAATCTAGATGGGAAAGATGGAGTACCTGGGACCAGGAGAGTAGCCTCAAATTGTCCTCAGCCTGTGTTGCCTTATGAAACATTGGAATCTTACTGTATTGATGGAGGAAACTTCCTTAGAATTGACCCCCATGCCTGTTTGTTGCTTTCAGTCACCAAATTTATTCTATTTTATTTTGCAGAACCAATTAACAAGTATGATTCTTAGGTTAAGCATGAATAAAGCCAAAGGACATGGACTTCCAGCGGCTCCTCTAGAGGAGGTAGGAAGTTCTTGAACGTGGATTGCTGTTGTGCTTTTATCCGTGCTGTTACTATTTTCTTGTTGCAGTTGTTTATTAACTTGAATAAATGCTTTTGTATAGCCACATCTCACGTGTGCAAGGGGGGTGGGGTCAGCTCCCCATGCACCCAAACTGGAGTCTCAAGTTTTTCTGTGTGTGGGCCCAAACTGGTTTGACCCCTGTCTGTTATCCTAAATCAGATTGTTCCACTGCATCAGTTTCACAGGGGAAGTCATAAAAGAATGGAGCAAGCTACTCTTTTGGTAGCAGTTTTCAGCTGGAGGTAAGAAGAAGCTAGACTTCCTTTCAGGACTACATGCTGCAAGGACAGCACTGAAAAACCTGTCTCCTGTAAATACCTAAGCTAAACCAGTCTTTCAGATGGTGATCCCGTGCTCTACTCTTTCCCTTCATTTACCTCATGAAGCGCCTAACCCCCAATTGTAAAGTATAGCATACAAAGAATATCATTTATGTTCTAAAACTCCTACAGGAAAGTTTTCACACAGGTTTGTACCTTAATAGTTTTACTGTGTCAGAGTCTGCCCTTTAAAGCTATGTACTAAACGCCCTTTTTTCACTCCAGAGTTTTCCCTGTGAAAACTTGCTCTTTAAAGCTTAATCGGAGCAAATGACACTCCACAGAAAACCTGAATTGACGTTGACTCTGATTGAGTGCTAAAGAAGCAAAAACCAGCTGCTCGGACATAGTGTTTTAAAGCATGAATCTATGCCTGGAAAGAGTGGGGCAAAAGGTAAGTAAGAAGTGTTGAAAGGAATTTGCTTGTCCTCTTAGCCCAAGTCCAGTTGACTTGAGCTCTTGAGTCAGTGCTCACCAATTTATCTGAAGTCGGCACCACAAAAGGGAAAGACAGTTGCTTATTCAGATGAGCCATTCATGCAAAGTGCCTCACAGTGAAATCTGTAATAAATCTGTTCTCAGTGAAATCTGTGATAAACCCCATGGAATATAAGGACCATAGGTTCTTTTCAGGCCCTTACTAGCAAACATTAAAAGGATAATCTTAGACTTCAGTATTTTGTTTGCCAAGCTGTGGCTTCCAAGGTCAGAATAGAAAGCAATGAAGCTTTCTACTCTGCAAGGTCTCTGAAGGAATCCAAATTTCTCTGTTCCAGATATTTACCTGCTGGCAACGCTGATCCTGCCTAAGGGAAGGAGGGCAATGATGGATAGGTAAATCCCAAGGAACCAAGTTTAGTTACGTAGAAAGATATGTAGAGGAAGAGATTGAATCACCAGTAAATGCAGTCTGTTAACATCAGGAAACATGGTTTGAAGGCAAAGGGCACAGAAAATGTGTGAAATAGCCCCAATAAAAGCTACGTCACACAGGATTAATTTTTACATGGTGAAAATGTGAGATGAATGCACATGTGTTTATTCATGACTATTAAGGGAGGGGGTGTTGAAACACAATTTCCTGTTGGGATATTGCATCCAGGTGGGAAATTCATCTCATGCAAAACACTGAGTAACTGGGACAAATTGTTATTAAGAACAACAATTATATCTTGAGGATATGGACAAGCTGCTGGAATATGTGTAGCTGACCATCTGCCCCTTTGGCACTTGCGCACCTTGGCTTCTTAGAGTTAGCCATAGAGGACTGTGAGTCCAGAGAGTGATTGCTGCTTCCTTAGTGAAGGGGGAGGGACCAACGGCCTTGAAGGATGTGGTGGGGCACCTTCTCCTTAAGAAGACCTCCATGGACCCAGAAGCATTAAGCAACTCTCATCCTTTTTTCATCAAGGTGCTTGAGAAGGCAGTGGCAATTCATCTTCAGGCATGCTTGGAGTAAACTGATAACTTGGTATCTGGCTACTGAGTTGGATGAAGGTGAATAAACTAAAATTGAATCTTTATAAGACGTGGTGTGCTCTTGCTTGATGTCTCCTGGGCCTAAGAACTAGGGGAAGAGTCTGATTTTGATATGCTGCACTTTCCCAGAAGGTGCAGGTACATAGTCTAGGGTGCTCTTTGATAGCATCTTGTTGGTGGTGATGCAAAGGTCTCCAGCCACAGCATTTCTCAGCAGGGATAGCTTGGCCACAGGAATCCATGCTCTGATATCCTCCCATTACTGTAACGTTGCCCTTGAAGACAACTTGGGAATTGCTGCCAGCATAAAATGCAGTGGTCCAACTTTTGAGTGGAGCCACCAGCCAAAATCACGTCACATTGATTCTTAAATATCTGCATTGAGTTTCTGGTCTGAATAAAAGTTTTTATAAATGACTTACAAAGCCTTGAATGACTTTGGGCCTAAATCCTTCATCAGCACCTTTCTCTGCAAGAATAGGGAGGTTATCAGGTATTTGGGAGGCTGCTTTCAATTTGGTGGGTCATCAGAGCTGTGCAGGCCTGATTCAGTTTCTCCACATATTAATCAGATGGTGCACATGCAATATCCTCACTGGACTTGTAGGCATGCAGCGCACCTAGACAGCTCCTAAGAATCAGTTGTAGAAATTGCCTGAAAGGTCAGATGGGGGAGCACTAGGATTATGGGCAGGGAACAGAACAGCAGGAGTGAGGCAAAACATTCTTGTTTGCAGGTCCCCGAGTCTCCTACGCGATTGCAGTTTGATCTGCGAAATTCAGGTCACTTGCCAGGGTTTGTGTTGCTACATTAAACAGCATTACAGAAGAAACAACATTAAACCGTACAAGGCTCTTTGTAGAAAATAGCTTCCAAACAACAACAAAAGTATGGGAGCTGGGAAAGGAACAGAAAGTCCAACAAAATATTAAAAGCCGAATTTGTTTTTAAAATGTTGAGTCAAAAATGAAGCTAATTCTTACAAACAAAAGCAATGGGACAGTGATCTTAAATCTTTAACTCCAATGTAGGTTTCCCACGCCTTTTAATGGGTCCTCTAGAACTCTACACAGGTTTACCAAGTATTGCAAGAGTTTGCAACTCTACTTAAACTCTACTGACACATAGGAATGTAGCAGGTGAAAATTTCCAAATTACTTTTCACCATGCCAGAAAAAAACAACACTCACTAAATTTCTACAGATGTACCGAAGACTACAGACAATGGCTTAACATTTATTTGCTGTCCCCTTGATAAAAGTAGTTCTGTGAAAAGAGATAGGGCTCTCGTACTAGCATGTCCCCAAACCCTGTGGCCGGGGCGGGGGAAAGGGGGAGCCATGATAATGTTGGCATTTATTTAAACATTTACAGTATATCCTGCCTTTGTGTCAGGAGAACCTGAAGTTAATGGTAGCAAATCTACAAACAATTACAACTATGGACAATATAAAATATCTGCAAAATAAAGACTCAAAATTTACAGGAGAAAATTTGAAAGAGTAGTAAGCAATGACAATTAATTTAGGCCAAAAGCTTCCTTTAAAAGCCACACTTGATTACCAGACTACATGAAGACCATTTGGGGACCCAGTACCAAACCAATATTTTAAAAGGGTTCCAGGGGGTATCTGGGAAATTACAAGCGAGTAAGGGTTTATCCATGCTTCTTCCTGTCCCACTGCTTTTCCCCAGGAGAAAACTGTTCTTTAGCATTCAATCGCAGCAAACAGCAATTTGGGATTTCCCTGGATTGCCATTGGTTATGATCTATCACTAAAGCAAAGGATTTGCCTTGGGAAGGAGCAGGGCAAGGGGGAAACCGCTCAGACCTTTGTTTTCTAGGCATGGCACCAGCAGAAGTATGGGCAAGCCCTTAGTGCAACCGTTCTGATCCCCTGGCCTACCTGACAGTGTGCCAAGATGAAGTTCCAAGTCGTGACAGTGACATACATGTATGTTCCAGGGGAAATAATAGAACTCTAGAGTTGGAAGGAACCACAATGGTGGGAAACATTATTAAAGATAATAATATCAAGCATATAGAAGAACAAGTCTTGCTGAAGAAGAATCACCATGACTTCTGCAAAGGTATGTTTGACCTAAATAATCTTTCAGAGTCCTTTGAAAGTGTTGGCATTTGGATAGGGATGATCTGGTAGACACTGTGTAGCTGGGCATTCATAAATATTTTGATGAAGTTCATCACCAAAGACATGTGGGTGAATTTACCAGTCTTGCTTGATTACAGTATTGGGAAGCCTCTTTTCCTGCAAACACTCCTGCATGGTTAATCTTGAAGGATAAGTCTTTGGCACCCGTTTGTGGATTAATGGCATTAGGGTCTACAGCTAGGGAGACATGGCATAATGTTTCAGCAATGACACTCTGACTCATGTGCTCATGCTCTGTTAACTCTATGGGATAATCCAGGGCTCATCCACACTTCTGCTCATCCTGTGCCAAGAAATCACATGACCAAGAGGTCTTCCCCTTGCTTGCACCTTTCCCAGGGAAAATCTGCTCTTTAGCGCTAAATCAGAGCATACATCAATCTGGGGGAAACCCAAATTGTCGTTCACTCCAATTGAGCACTAAAGAGCGGTTTTGCTTGAGGGAAGGCAGCGGGACAAGCGGAAGTGTGGATGAGCCCCCAAATTTGAAAATAGAGGGTAGGGAAGATTTGAATAATAGAGAACAAAGATATTGACATGGCAGCAGACCACCATCCAAGATACAAGCCCTTTTGTTGACTCTGAATGGGTGATGCCAAAGGGTGCCCTCCCTTTAGAGTTGTTACTTCAATTTTGTTTGCAAGGGCAACATCCCCTTTTAAAAAAAAATCCCCATATTGTTAGTAATGTTTTGTTGTATGGGGTTGAGATGGGGGTTGCCTGACTATAGCTAGGATTCAGTATAGCCTTTTAAGTGATCTGTTTATTTTATTTGTCACCTAATTAAATATTCTCTCAATGACATACACAGTAAAATAGCAACAATTAAAACAAACCTAACAACAAAACTACCCCTGTTTAATCATACGAAGCAGCTTCTGCTTATCGGAGGACAGCTGCCCCAGATTGCAGGAGCTCATGTTGTTGTTTCCCATCAATCCACCCACTGATGGAAGAAAGAAATCTTTCTGACCATATACAGTATATGCTTAGGGTCAGGGAACTGCACTTTATGAAGGTCTGGAAAATCTTGAGAACTGGCAATAGTACCTAGAATCTTGTGGATTTCCCACTAATACAGTTTTCTTTTTTTTAAAAAAATGGTTGGCTAGTGCTTGAACCAATATTATCACCACCACCCAAATGTGCTTCATAAATGCTATCAATCTGCTGCTTACTTCTGAAGACAGGGTGGCTTATTTGGTTTCAGGGCTATTTTATAGCCCGCCTTGCTGTAACAGTGACATACATGAACATAGGTAAAGGTAAAGGTACCCCTGCCCGTACGGGCCAGTCTTGACAGACTCTAGGGTTGTGCGCCCATCTCACTCTAGAGGCCGGGAGCCAGCGCTGTCCGCAGACACCTCCGGGTCACGTGGCCAGCGTGATGAAGCTGCTCTGGCGAGCCAGCACCAGCGCAGCACACGGAAACGCCGTTTACCTTCCCACTAGTAAGCGGTCCCTATTTATCTACTTGCACCTGGGGGTGCTTTCGAACTGCTAGGTTGGCAGGCACTGGGACCGAGCAACGGGAGCGCACCCCGCCGCAGGGATTCGAACCGCCGACCATGCGATCAGCAAGTCCTAGGCGCTGAGGCTTTTACCCACAGCGCCACCCGTGTCCCCATATACATGAACATAGGTATACCTATATTATATTGTCCAATATTCACGTAAGACAAAACATTTCTGGACAAAAACAAGAATTGTGCAATAATCTGGCAGTAGAACAGAATTTTCTAAAGACTGTAAACAATCAAGATTGCTGCAATAAAGATATTTTAAACTATTCATTTATTGAACATTGTTGTAGACCTCTCCTGAGAGTTTTTACATTTAGCTGTGGCAATAGATAAACGATCCTAAAGACTCTGGGATTTCTACCATCCAACAGATGCGTGAAAATCCATTGAACAAGAATTCAAAACAGATAACTGAGAATTGTTGTTAAGAAATAGATGTAACATTTGCATCCATAGAATGGAACAGTAAGAAATTGGAGTTATTAAATCAGACACCCATATCACATAAGCAAAACGGCAGATCACAGTTAATTTTAAAATATCCTTCCAGTACTTTGTGTGCAGCTGACTGGAATCTAATGGCCATAAAGGATTGTCTGTCTGCTACACCCTGAACTATGTGTGGAAAGGTGGGGCATAAATATTTCAAATAAATACACATGTTAAATCAACCAAATACACTTTCTTTGTTACAGAATTTAAGTCATGCAACAGAATATGTTGAGCAAACCATTGCCAGGTCTTATTTTCACTTAGCTTATAAGTGGAAAGCACGAACCCCATCTGTAAGCCTTTAGGTTGCCAATCATATTAAACTGGAATAGTTGTGATCAGATGCTGAAGAGGGCTTCTACCTAATATTGACCCTGTGAATGGAGATGTATGGATTTAGCCAGTGCTAGTGGGAGAAACAAGGTATAGATCTTTTGCCATGTGACCTGGAGTGACTTATGCCTCAAAACCTGTGCATTCAGTTAACGGCAAAAGCATATCATCTAAAAAAATGTTCATGGTACAAAAACACAAAGCATAACCCAGGAAAGAATGCAGAATGGATACAAGAAGAAAGAAAGAAAGAAAGAAAGAAAGAAAGAAAGAAAGACCCTGACCCAACCCTCCCAAAGAAAAATGGTTCTTGTCAACAATGCATCTAAATAAGAGGTTCCTGGCCAATAATGCTTTCTCTGTGACTAATAAACCAGGATTTGAAAATGTCATAATGTGGATCTATCAACCTCTCACACTAGGCGAAAGAAGCTGATGTCAAGCCGAGGCACTCAACAAAAGATCAATTAAGACTATCAATAAATTAAGCTGTTTTGGAGTGTCCATTATGGCAGCTTGAGTAGGCTTTCACCTGTTTCCCCTTTCCCCTGAAGCAACCATTGTATTCAGATTTTTATTTTTAAGGAAACGTCAACCCTCTAGGAAATCTTACTTTTCCCTGTCATTTTCTTGGAATATTTGCAGGTGATCATAGGTGAAGCCAGTGTTTAGCACTGAATATATTTCAGCCAAAAGAAATAAGGATTCCTCCACTAGGAACAGAACCCTGAAGAATGTTCATGTATATGAGGAGCTTCAGAATTATATAAAGTTTCAAAGGCA